GTCCGGAATACAGTTGGACAGAAAGTAAATGGAATCCTGAAAGAGACTATACTAGCTGCGGAATCGCCTCGGGGAAATACAGCTCACCTAGTCTCCGTGTCAACCATGCTGCTGTGCCACTAAGCCACTAGCCACCCAATAAACCTATGCAACAAAAATGCACAGCAAGTGTAGTATGAGTACGAAAACAATGTGTACTCAGCAAGTATCCCGTCTAATCTCGAAGAAGTAGAGACGAGAGGTCGACTTTAACACTTGCCAGTAGTCAAATAATAATATACTAAGATGTGAGGAAATCATGGATTTATATAGCAGGTTCTAACTCACAAAGCTGTAAAACAGGTAAACACTTGAACAATTAACAAAGGATTTTCAAGATTTACTTTTCATTATCTTTATTAGTGGGTAGCGGCCATGAAGGAATTATCAACTTTAATAAGTTTCAAGTAAGCAATGCAAACATGCGCATATCATGCCGAGGTCGACGGTCCGCTCCAACAGAAATGTAAATGTGCACTGTCGAGGGTCGAACGGTGCGAACCAGAGATGCATCTATTTAATCTGCCGAAGCGTTCGGCCCGCTCCAAAATTTAAACACATACCCTGCTCGCGAATCATACATCCAACGCAGGAACACATCAAAACTCATGCGCAAATAGCCAATTAGGGGTTTTATCAGGGAGCATTTGTCCAATTAAAAGCCAGTCCTCTTTTTAACAATTTAAGAGATTAAATTTAATCCTTTTTGGAATTCATTTACTAATTCAATGCGATCTAAGAAATCCAAGTTATCAATGAGCTTACAATCAAACCAAGTATAGCATGCTTTTGGGTCCTAACTACCCGGACAATAGCATAATAGTAGCTACGCACGGACTCTCGTCACCTCGTGCGTACGTAGCCCCCACAAATAGGAGCACATAATCAATTGTTTCACCTATGGGGACAATTCCCTCTTACAAGGTTAGAAAGGAGACTCACCTCGCCCCGAAGATCCATAACCGGCATTCCACGCCCTTCCGAAGACTCTACTTGACGCACCACGCTCCAAAACTAGCCAACGGTTACGCAAATCCATTATTATATGCACAAATATTCATTACAATCTAATTTATAGCAATTCCTAACTCCGATCGAAAAGTTGACTAAAATGCCCTCGGGCCCACGTGCCCGGAATCCAAAAAATTTCGAAGATAAAGATTACCCATGACCTTAGGAACTCAAATATATAATTTCCACTAAATTCCATACTCAATATCGTGGTCAAATTCGAAGAGATGCCAACTTCTAGGTTTTCCACCAAAACTTAAATTTTTCCATAATTTCCTTGCTTAAATCCATGTATAAACTTTGTATTTAACTCAGAGCTAGCATAAATTACTTACCTCATGATGAGTGACGAAAATGGTACCTCAAAGCTGCTCCCCATCGACTCCAATGGTAGAAAATGGGGTTGGAATGAACCCAACCCCGAATTTTAAAAGACCTCACTGCCTCAGCTGTTTCCGCACCTGCGGTCCCTTGACCGCTTCTGCGGTTCCGCAGGTGCGGTTAAAATACCGCATTTGCGGTCCTCCCTAGGCCGCCCTCTTTCGCTTCTGCGATATGCCTTCCGCAGATGCGGTCCTCTCCAAGATGCCCTCTTCTGCTTCTGCGTTCACTTCTTCGTAGATGCGGTCCCGCTTCTGCGGAACCTTGACCGCATCTGCGGTCCTCAGGCCTTTGACCAAAATCCGCTTCTGCGGCTCCCTTTCCGCTTCTGCTACCAGCAACCAGATCCTTCAGCTGTCCAAAAATCCCAATTTCGATCCGTTAACCACCCGGAATCCACCCGAGGCCCCCGGGACCCCAACCAAATATACCAACCAATTCTAAAACACATCACGGACTTGTTCGAGGCCTCAAATCATATCAAACAATGCTAAAACCATGAATTAACCCCGATTCAAGCTTTATGAACTTCGAAATTTCAAACTTCTACTTCCGATGTTTAAACCTATCAAATCACGTCCGATTGACCTCAAATTTTGCACACAAGTCATATTTGACATTACGGACCTACTCCAGCTTTCGAAATCGGATTCCAACCCCGATATCAAAAAGTCCACTTCCGGTCAAACTTCTCAAAAACCTCCAAATTTCTATCTTTAGCCAAATGACTCCAAAATGACCTACGGACCTCCGAATTCACTTCCGATCGCGCCCCCAACTCCAGAATCACCATACGGAGCTATTCACAGTCTCGGAATCCCAAACGGACATCTATAACACTGAAATACACTTCGAGCCAAACTTATGAAATTTCTTCTAAAATGCTAACTTCCACAATAGGCGCCAAAACGCTCCCGGGTTATCCGAACCCCGAACCGGGCATACGACCAAGTCCAAAATCATCATACGAACCTGCTGGAACCTTCAGATCTTGATTTCGAGGTCGTTTACTCAAAATTCCAATCCTAGTTTATTCTTTCAACTTTAAGCTTCCGAAATGAGAATTCTCTTTCCAAATCAACTCTGGACTTCCCGAAATTCAATTCCGACCACGCGTACAAGTCATAATACCTGAAATGAATTTTTTCATGGCCCCAGACTACTGAGCGACGCGCTAGATCTTAAAACGACCGGTCGGGTCATTACATAATGGCTATAATCAGACATCATGCCCACAAGTTAAAATCAGTTTCTAAACTAGATGTCGTGTCTACAGGATTAAAATCAGTAATTTTTTTTATAAAAGTCATGCCTATAGGAATTTCGCTATGATCAAATAAATCCTGCCTACTCAATTAGATACCATGCCTATAGGATCTGAAACCAGGTTAGTTAAAATCAGTTTGACTCGTACTATGTTGAATTAGTTTAAACAACTCACTCCTTTCATTAATGCGGTTTAGAAAGCATGCCTATAGGATCCAAATTACTCGTTTAGAACTCTCTCTGCTTTGCCATTTTTTGGAATCAGTAATAGGTATCATGCTTATAGGGTATCATCAACACACACTTAGGCAAGCCTTAGGTAATAACGATAAAATTGAATCCGCCTTTATTTAATTAGCTACAACCAGCGGGCAGGCCTGATTTCGACTTCTTATCTGAGTTATGTAATAAATGGGTCTGCTTCAACATCTGAAATTCCCCTGTCTTAGTACTTCTGGCCTTAAATGTGTTTTGAGTCTTGCTATTTATGTGCTCTACTTGAGGAGGTATATATGAGCCTTTAGTTGTTTACATGTTCACCCTAATATGCAGTCCTATGTGTTTTGAATGTCGCCTTAGTCTTTTTATCTTTAAAACCCAAAAGTCAGCCTAAAATCCTCCCGCTTATAGGAATAGTAGTCCTAAATTCCTCCGGGACTGATAGGAATAGAACGGGTAATAGCATGCAATAGAGGTCGAGACCAATCCGCGCTTTAATACCTTAACGGGGTGGGAAGGGTAGATATGGATGTGATGACCGGTGCGCTAATACCACGTGTAGCCCCTCTTTTGAGGAGTGATTACCGGGTATTGCATTGATGTGATCCATATTACAAATAAACCTAGGACCCCCTTGTATATTCGTTAGCATGTTTAGTTATAACTCTTTCAAAACTTTGTTTCATTTTATCACTTACAAACATTCATATATTTAAAATCCCCTCTTATTTGAGCCTTGTTTGTTTACTTGTTAATTGCACAAATTCACAAAGAAACTATCTGGACGGGAACCACACTAGTGGATCCTGAGGGGTGCCTAATACCTTCCCCTTAGGATAATTTCAAGCTCTTACCCTATCTCTGGTTATCAAATAAACTTAGAATTGAACCTTATAGGTGTCCTAATGCACCTTAAACCATTAGGTGGCGACTCTTCAATTGCAAACCCCTTTCCCAAAAGGAAAGAGTTGTCCCAACCAAATGTCACCAACCCGATTTTCCGATGCAAAGAGGGACAAAGTGGGCGCGACAACTATGAGAGCAAAAGAGAAGAGATAGAAGAAGAGATACAAGGAGAGAAAGGGGGAGGGAAGCCAAAATAAGCGTGTAATTTTTTTTAGAGAGAATATAAAAGAGAGTAGTTTTTAAAGATTTGGCTATATAATGCCAATTGTTTGGTGCTATCTTTGCCAAACCTAATATAAGGCTAAAAAATTGCCAATTTTTGTTATGTGTTGTTATAGGATGCAAATTTTTCTTTATATATATATATATAACTTACAAGTGCACAGTTAGCCACTAATTAGAGATGCTTTAATCTTTAGCCAGTGTTTAACTTGTATTTACTCTTTAGCCAGTGCTTAATAAATTTTTATCCGCCGGGACGAAAATACCCTTGTGCTAGACATGAGTGCTGTGTAAATATTAAGGACATGGTGTCCTTCACTTCATGAATGTTGTGTAAATATTAAGGACAAGTGTCCTATCATATCCTTAACTTCATATGTGCAGTGTAAATGTTAAGGACATTGAGTCCTTAACTTCATGTGTGCAGTATAAATGTTAAGGACATAATGTCCTTAACTTGTATTTGCACCTTTTTTTGTTAAACTTTAGGACCTCATGTCCTTAACTTCATATATGCAGTGTAAATGTTAAGGATATAATGTCCTTAACTTTATGAGTGTTGTGTAAATATTAAGGACATGGTGTCCTTAACTTCATGAATGCTGTGTAAATATTAAGGAGAAAGTGTCCTGTCAAGTCCTTAACTTCATGTGCAGTGTAAATGTTAAGGACATGGCGTCCTTAACTTCATGTGTGCAGTTTAAATGTTAAGGACACCATGTCCTTAATATTTACACAACACTCATGAAGAAAGGGTAAAAACGTCTTTTTGTATTAATTTTAATAAAGTAGTAGTTATTTTTGCTCACCATTAAAAATACTGGATAAAAACTAAATACCATATTAAAAAATGGCTATCCCACGCTATTTCTACCCATTGATTTGCAAGAAGGAAAAGTTATTTGGGCTGATTGAATAAATGGGCTATTAGGCCCAGTCCGTGGTATAAATAAAGAAACGGAATTCCCATCAAGAAAGAGGGAGATAGTGAAAATGGCGACATGGGGTGCGTTTTGGGGAACAAGGGTAATGGAAATAGTGAAGAAGCATGATTCCGGCGGGCTTCTTTGGAAGAGAATAAAGCTCACTCCTACTCGCAAAGCTAATGCCAAGAAACGTCTTCGCCGTGTTTGGCAGGTCAACTTCCTACTCTTCTTTTCCTTTTATTCTTCTTTAAACTCGGAATCTTTCCTTGTACAAGTTTAGGGCTTTATATGCTTTTTTATATTCAGTTGATGACATTATGTTGGAGATCTTTAGTTTAGTTTCTTAGGTTGAGGTAAATAATTTAGGTTATTTTTTGAATAAATGAGGCGGATGGAGTATGTGTTAAGTTGGTTGAACTCATTTAGGATGCGCAGCATAGATATATGTGTAAAATTACCAAAATTATAACAAATACTGAATTCTGAATCCATAATTTCAAAAGTGCAATGAGTTTGGACTTACTTGGCAGGGTTACTTGACACTCATGTAGATTGTAGCAGCAGCTTGGGTATTAGTGTAGCAAGCTGGACCTAGCACCATTGCCACAAAAAAGAAGAAGAAAGAAAGTCACTTTTTCTAGTCCTAGGAATTTTAGAAAGTCTTCTTTTGCTCAAAGAGAGCTAATTTATTAAAAAAAGGATCAAAACAAGTTCCAGTTAATTTTTCGATTGTATCATCTTATTCCAAGGATTTTGTTCCATTGACTTAATAGAGTCGGAATTTACTTTGAAATATCATCTTTAACAATATCATGAGACCATTAGTTACTTTAATGAAATCAGTCCTATTGATCTTTGGCTGTCCTTTTCTTGTATGATGTTGTGTGGCTCCGGGGAGTGTTGTTGGAGAAGGCTCATTTGCATTCTTTACTTGATCCTTTTAATGGTTTCTTGAGCTTGATTGGCCTTGAGTTGGTTTCCCTATTCATGATATTTAGGTTGACTATCTTTCGGGGCATTGATGAACTAATGATCTTAAGATGCAAATATTCATGGGCCATTATTCACCGAGTTTCGAACCTTTTGCTACTTGACCTCGGGATTTCTCGGTTATAGAAAACGATCAAATATTGGTGTAAATGAGGTTGAAATAGTTAATAAACTGGCCATTATTCTCATTCAATAGTAACCTTGAGCAATAGAGCGTAAGGACTTTTTTATATTGGATTTAGACGGGTTTAAATGGAGCAACATGGGTAGTAAGGATTCATATAGTTGACCGTAGCTAGGGGCGACCTTACAATTGTACATGATGTAGATGCAATGATTGATCTGATAGGGGAATTGCACATTCTGTGGTTATCTTTTGTAACACTGGCTCAGTGCAAGTTTACCATCTTTAATATATTTGCATTGCTTATCAAAAGACAGTCTTTATTATGTAGTATATAATATCAAAGACTTTCTAAATTTTTTGCATATTCTTTCTTTCCTTTATGTTTTTTGTGGACCCTTTCTTCTCCTTATTTGTTTGTGAAACTATTCGAATGTATGATCAGTTTAAGAGTATATATATCTATATATATACACATACATACATACTTTTAGGTCATTTTCAATTAACATATCCCGCTTAAATGGATAGATGACTGTATTGTAAGATTCCCCGAAGAAGAAATTACAAATAGAAAAGCAAAATTGCTTAAATGAGCTACTTAGACAAAACAAATGAACATGTATTTATTTTGGCTCAGGTAATGATAGCGACCTATGTTGTTCGAACTCTTCAAAAAATCCCAGCTGCACCCGTGTTGATCTGACACGATTTGTGTATAGATGTGGAATCCACACCGGATTTCGTAAACTTACCTTGGGTACTTTGTCTACATCTATGACCAAGAAGTATCGATTGATTGGGAATTTGGTTTTGTTTTTGGGTTTATGTCCTATATATAATTATATAAAATATGCGCTTTGCTGTTACACGAGATATCTTATGAATAAAAAATTATGTGGTTATAAAAAATTAAATTTTATTTATTTTAGTTCAATTTAGTTTATTGAAATATATACTTATATATGCCATAATATATGTTTGTTGGCCATATACCAGCACCCATATTTGCACTCGGATCCATATCCCTGAATCCTAAAATTTATGTGATGAAGAATCCTACGTCTATATCCACACCCATATCGGGTACCCGTACCCGAGTCCGAGCAACATAGCAGCGACCAAACAAACCCATTTAGCCATTATCTGAGAAAGAGAAGATATACTTAAGAATAATTGGCGTGTCTTGTGGTCTTGATCTTAACTGTATTTAATCCAAGAGAAACCAAACAAACCTATCTTTCAAAAAAGGAGAACAAGGAAATGGGAAACCAGCACAAATGATTTTGTTAAAAGTCCAGTCTGGTAATGGTTACCTGGAATAAGGCACTGATAGTGGATTAGCTTTTCGGTAATTCACCTTTCATATTTGACATGGTTTGACGGTTTTCGAATGGGATTGTTCAACTTGAGTACATATTTTAATTTATAAGCTCATTAAATGTTAGCTCATATGCTTAAAACATGCTCATAGAATTGAAAACATAGTCCTGCTTCTAAGGTCAATATACTTTGAATAGTTCATTATGTCATCCAGTGATTAATATTTAGTATATAATGTGTATATATTTTTGTCATAAATATTCTCTTCATTCATGTAGTACATATTTCTAAATACCATTTTGGTGCTTCTGACCATATGGTAACTCTTTCCTCTAAGCAAGCTATGAGGAGATTCCATTAGTAAGCAATTGCAATTTGAGTTTCTCAAGCCAAGTCCATTAGGGAAGTAGTTTGAGCAACTTATATTGGTGTCTTCAATCATTAGGGTGAGTATTCATCTACCACTTTCCCTTGTTAAAGAGCAGGTCTTTCTCAGTGAGGTGGTACCATCTTGAACCAGTGTTATAGAGGTTATGAGAACTTACTTTCAACGTTCTTTTTTAAAATCTTTTTGCAGTTCATTTTGTCTCATCCAACAAAACTACAAATGATAAACGATAAATGCCAACTTTTGTATTACATTATCTCAAGTCATACATTATGCAGTTTAGCAACATCTCTATCAGCATGATGTTATACACCTTATGGCGTATGGGCCTGTGAAAGCTAGTGTTGTACACAAGCATGTTGATAAATTCATTTGGTCTGGCTCATCCTTCAAATTAACCTCTTTGAACTATAAGATGAGAACACTTTCTTAGCTTGATGTAGTCTGTTTCCTTTTCTCTCAGCCAAAAGAATGTAACCGTAATGGAATTCCAAGTCCCTATGACTTGTGATATTGGGATTTGTTTACCTGTATAAGTTGCTGCTCACAATGATCTAATTTAATTGGAATATAATTTGTTTTGTTTTTTATGTGGACTTGGAAGAAGTCATAAAACTTCATTTTTCCCCAATGATCTTTGTGTTTGAATTAGATTTCATAAGGAATTATAGCCCCATCTTTTAAAAAATGTCAGGCATACAGAGGTTTTAATATTTTTTTCTGCAGAATGAAGCTGTCTTGAGGGCATGTTCTGAACCACCTCCATCCGAAACTACAGAGGTAGATGCTGGACAAACAAGTAATGTGCAATTAAAAACCAGTAAGAGTTAGCTCAGACGAGTATGAAGAGGTAAAATGAACTGTGGGTGACAGAGCTGCTTGCAAGGTCTTTATTACACTTGGTCAACTACATTAGTGTATTACCCCTTGAATTTTGCTTAACCTGTTAGCCTACTTTGTTAGTATGAAGTGAACTGATTTGGATGTCTCACTTTTACATGGGTTACTCTAGATCAAAGTATACTTTTCTTAGCTTAGCTGTACCGAGTATTTAAATCTGTGACAAATTTTATCAAATGCAATCTATTGTGTTTCTGTTTGTGTTTGATCACAAGCTTGTTTGATGATGACCTGGAGCGCGTTCTAGCATTTCCGTCATTGTTTTGCCAGGGTGTTTTGGTCCCTCTGCAGTAGCAAATGTTGGCCATTTAGTTTGAAATGGATGTTGAAATTTGGTTTTGGTGTCGTGGACTCTTAGGGAATCAATCTTATGAGTCTAAGCCATAAAATAGGTAAGATACTGGATCTTCCGTTTGGATAGTGTGGTCCATCACGATATTAGAGAAAACTGGAACGGTGGCTTAGGTGTAGAAGCAGGAAAGTATTGGACATGTCATTACATCACAGATTTTACTAAACATGCAAAAAGCCTGTCTTTGTGATCAGCAGTAGATGCTCCCTAGTGTCGAGGTAGCCTTTCAGATGGGCGAGAGACCACGGAGTTGAATTGGTCTTTAACATGGTCTTGTGCTCTCTCTTTCTACTACACTAGTCCAGTTTTGACCCTCAATCTTAAAGTGTATAGCCTGTTTGGCCAAGCTTATAAACTCAAGCTTATTTTGAGAAGTGTTTTTCTCAAAAGGTGAGAACCAGTTTGTATTTGACTACTTAGTTTGAAAAGTAATTTTGACTAGTAATTAATATTTGCCAAGCTTTTAAAAAGTGCTTTTAATAGCCTGTTTGGCAAGCTTCTCCAAATCCAAAAGTATTTTTTTTCTCAAAAATAAGTATTTTTTATTTCAAAGTTGAAGTGTTTGGTGAAGCTTTTAAAAGAAAAAAGTGCTTATGAGGAGAATCAAAATCAGTTTTGGAGAAGCATAAAAAAGTATTTTTTCCTCAAAAGCGCTTTTGAGAAAAATACACATAAAAACACTTTTTAAGAGCTTGGCCAAACACTAATTGCTCTTCAGAAATGTTTTCAAATTAATTAGTCAAACATAAACTGGTTCTCATCAAAGTAATTTTGAGAAAAACACTTTTGAAACAAAACACTTATCAAAATAAGCTGATTTTTGAAGCTTTGCCAAAGTGTATTTTTCTCAAAAATGCTTTTGGAAATAAGTTACTTTTTTCTGCTTCTCAAAAACTACTTCCGCTTCACCTCAAAAGTACTTTTTTCGTTCCGAAAGCTTGGCTAAACATCTTAATTTTAGAAGAAAAAAAAAATATTTTTGCCTCAAAAGAAGCTTGCTCAAACAGGCTATTAATCAGACAATACTAAAATGAACAATTTGATAAATTCTTTTCAATATCTTGGTCACATATGCACGAGGCGTAGGCCCTTGTACCCTGTTCAATGGGCAAAAGTCACAAGTTGATCTTTTATGAAGTATGTTGTCACGCCCCTTTTCTACCCCCGAGAGGATATAATAATATGTGTATGTATAGATTATGGGTTAAAGAATTTTTCTAATTAAAGTGACAAAACTTGAGTAGGGATTATTTTATTGTTCAGAGTCGCCACTTGGAATTTATATTTTCGGTGTTCCAAGTCACCATATATTTGAATCCTTAGTCAAAGGAAAGTTTGACTCTATTTTTATCGGTCCGCGAAAATAAAGTTCGGGTAAGGAATTCTGTTGACCGGGGAGAAGGTATAAGGCATTCCCCGAGTCCCGTGGTTCTAGCACGGTCGCTTTATTGACTTAAACTTGGCTTGAATTAATTTTGGACAAACTGTGATTTATATTATTTTCATGTTTTACCTATCCGCTTTTATCTCTTGACTATTAGAAAAATTAAGAATATTTTTAATAATAAGATGTCATAACCACACTACGCAAGCGAATGCGTGTCGATGAATTTTATTATTTAGTCATAATAGCGCTACGCAAGCGAATCCGCAGTCATGACAAACAATTATTAGCGCGTTATTTACTTTTGAAAAATTACTACAATTATACTTTGAGAAAAAATTAACCTTTCGAAAGTTTATTAAATGTCACTACCGCGCTACGCAAGCGAATCCGCAGTTTTTTAGCAAAAGGATTAACTAAATTAATAAATTGACTAAAACTAACAGATATGGCATGAGATTGTTGAATTAATTTATTAAATGTTAAATATCACACTACGCAAGTGATTCCGTGAGTTAAAGAACACCTACTAATTGCCTAGCGTTTAAGGTAATTATTGAAGTGATTAAGTTGCCTAAAAATATTT